CATTATCGACAGAAAAACTTAGGACGAGCTAATCCGCCTTGGAGTGTGTGTGTGTTTAAGTGCCCATGATTTGCACCACCCAACTCTCCGAACAGTCAGCGGGGAGATCACAAATATCAGTTAACAACAAATGATCCATCTCACACAAGTGGGGACTCTCGTGCCCCGGTGGCCTAGTGGACAACGATTTGGCGTTTGAAACGATGGGTACTGGACTCAAGTTTCACTCACTGGGGCGTAGGTATATCCAGTTGACGATTCCCAAATAGGGCAAAATGCCCGACCTGGATTCCAGCGCTAGCCTTCAAATAGTCTGCCTCACAGACACTACTAAGGAAGCCGATGATTCTCAATATCTTTCAGACAGTTGAGTTTTTATATGACTTCTTCACTCCTCTTACTATTCCTTTTAGCACGCATGCGTGACATAGACTGTAGACAAATTATTGTATTTGTTGAAAGTAACTATGACTCAATGATCTGTTGCATTAGTTACGTGCCATGGCATCAATGTGAAGAAGCTGTTCATGGTGTGCTTAATTGGTGCTGGGTTTGTGCTGCTGGCTCATGAGAACCAGGGATGTTTTGTGCGTCGTGTACAACTACGGGCCGCCTGTCGCCTCCGTTTGATATCAACCAATGTACTGTCAAGTTGACTTAATAAATATCGCAGTCGACGAGATTCACATGCACAAAATCTGTGGTGCTGGTCTTAGAAGCACGGATGATTTTGCGAAGTACAAAACCCAGCTAGGTGATATTGGTAGATAAAGAATTTAGAAAAGAGCTCGGTCACAGCTATGCATGCGATTACACACAACCACACAGTAGGATCAAACAGGGTGAAAATGCTTAAAACTAACATAGCAGAGTGGAAGGAGAGATTGATAAGTGGATCTTTGTTTATCGAATCAATACCGAACACATACAGCAGGAATGACTCAGCACCTGGTTGCAGATTATACAAAAACCTACTGCCTATATGACATAGGGGGAGAAGAAATTAGGACTATACAAAGCATATCTTAAAGTTGTGTAGTTACCTTGATATGACTACGGACAATAAATTGTGTCCGAAGCGTAGTTGAGCAAACAATACTCTTCTATTGCGTGACAGATCTAATGAATCAGCTCAAATAGAATTACATTCTATCGCAGTGCTCAAGTGTTTTACTCTTGTGGTGACAAGCTAGCCTCTACATCGCGAATTGGTGAGATTCAATGTACAAGATGTATTCAGCTTTGTAGAACATGTCGAAAATATGAATATCAGAGACAAGAGGATGATATCTTTGGATATAACGTCATTATTTACCAATCTTCCGCTTACAGAAACAGTTGACTACATTTGCAATGAATTAAAAGAACGACAGACAGAAGTAGAAATCCCACCTGAAACAGTTAAGGAATTGCTGCCAAAGTGCACCATGAATGTTCACTTTAGGTTTAACAACGAATTATGTCGACAAGTAGATAGGGTTGCAATGGGCTTTCCTCTGAGTCCTATGCTAGCGGACATCTTTTTGACCAAACTTGAGAACAGTGCACTTAGGGACACACTGGATAAATTAGACTATTATTACCGGTTTATAGATTATATGTTCATCATTTGTAATAATGCCTACAATAAAGATGATCTCTTGAATACCTTCAGTAATTTTCACCCAGGTATGAAGTTCACCTGCAATGAAGAACAAGAGAATAGTATTTTTTCTCTAGATGTCCTCCTCACCAGGAATATGGATGGGTATATTAAAAGGAATATTTTTCGAAAGAACACATGGACTGGTCAGTGTATTCACTTTCACAGCTTCATACCGATTCAGTATAAAATAAACCAGGTCAAATACTTGAGTTACAGAATAAGAAACATTTGTTCTGATGACTGTATTGAAGAAGAAATGAATAAGCTGAAGATAACACTGCAACAAAATGGTTATCCGCTAAACTTCATAAATAAACATGTTGAAACCTTGAGAGAAGATGAAGAAAGACAATATTGGTAAGAAGCCTATATATCTTCGGCTGTTTCAAAGGTGATATTGCCACGGATATCTTAACACATCGATTAAGTAGATCGGTCAAAAGGACATCCAATACAGTGAAACTTTTTGTCAGCTTCTTAACTAAACCATTACTGACACAGCGAACCAAGGATAGGTTACCTATGATGGCCACCTCAATGTACATTTATGAATTCAACTCCTGCTGTGGAGCTAGTTACATAGGCCGTACTTAAAGGGCTCTGTCCATGCGTGCTTGTGAAAATATGCTATCTTGCCTAGGGAAAGGAATGACAAAGAAAAGCAACAGTGCAATCCTCTCAGATCTAGTAGACATCGGACATCAGATTAAGGAAGATCATGCCTTTTCTGTGATATACCATGTCCCTTGCAATCTTCCTAAAGGTGCACGACTTCGCATTTGATCCATAGTCGAAGTCATTGGGATCAATGCAAGAAAACCAGTCCTGTGTTCAAAAGAAATAAGACATCCACTTTGTTTACCTTGACCCACAACAGGGTCGATATGTTCTTTCTGTTATATTGTCATTACTTTGATCAACATTCATTTTCTTATGTTATTAGTTTTATGACCTTCTTTACTCATACCACTACGGGTAATCATTTTCAACCGTGACGTAACACTTCGCCCTTATTATTCTCTATTTCGTTATAGTATTCACATAAGTCATCACTACATAATTATTATTTGACCCATAGTATTTCAAACACATACACATTCATGGCCCAATAAATGTATATAAATTCATCATTATCTTTAGATTTTATCTCATCTCGTAATTCTTCTGTCAATAGTGATTTCATTGAACAACCAACACACTAAACTGATAACCATTCCACCATTTCATTCAATTTGATCTCCATTCACCCATAACACTGACTGTTTCAACATAGAAATAATTGTACATCATGGCCTATTTTGGCTATTGTATTTCACTTATTCTCATGGATTTATAACTGTAGCGACAGAAGAAGAAGAGGTTGTTGAAAACAATTCCTCGCTTAAATTATTCTTGAATTTTTGAGGGAGTTGTAGAGATTTGTAAATATTTCAAGTTGTCATTCACTGTAGACTAACATCAGTTGGAGGAACAAAGGAAACCTGGCAGCACTGGACAGCTGTTTCGTCCTAGTATGGGACACCTCAGCAGTGCGCACCCACATCCCACCCTCCAGGGGTCGAACCCGCGACCTTCAGGTTCTGCAGCCAGCTCATCACCATTGAGCCACTGGTTCAGAATCCAATGGTCCATACTTACAAATTCTGTTAGCTCACGATATAGCGCAACCGAAGTTCCAATGAAAAGTCGTGACCGGTGGAGTCAAAGCCTGATGGTCATGAGACAGTTACTCAACGATGACGTTGGGCGGCGGTTGCGTTATGTCTTGAGCTAACAGAAGTAGGAAACATAGACCATTGGATTCTGACTCAATGGTAACGCGCTGGCCGCGGAACCTGAGGGTCGCGGGTTCGACCCCTGGAGGGCGAGGTTGTGGGTGTGCACTGCTGAGGTGTCCCATACTAGGACGAAACAGCTGTCCAGTGCTGCCAGGTTTCCTTTGTTCCTCCAACTGATGTTAGTCTACAATGAATAACAACTTTAAATTACTCTTGTTCTGAATAACTTTGTTTATAGATTGTTCATGTCAGTAAACGATTTGAGCATATAAATCATTTTGAGTCAGATTGTGCTCTGCTAAAACGTTTGTATTGAATCTTTTGCCTACAGGTAAAAACGAATACTTAGTGTATCAGTTACCAAATTTGAACAATTGACATTTTAATATTCAAGTCAATGTTGTTTTAAACTTTTGCGTTAACTAAGAGTGCTCAGTCCGACTAGATATTTAAAATGGTCGGGAAATTGTTCAATATCTGCTTTTAGTTAACAGGATGATGTAACATTCCATTTGTCAGTGATTTGAATTTGACTTCATAAATACCATTGCTTATAATTTTCCGTCGTTGACTGAATCAAAATGATAGGTCTATATGGGTTTCTGTGCGGATCCCTCACTGTAGCCTGTAATTTCAGTTTGTTAGGAATAGTAGAAAGTGGTTAGTGTAGTGGAATCCAAGACGAGCGTTTCTTCCTATTTGAGACTTGTCAGATGAATGTACTTGCCACGCAATGAGTGGTGTTGTTCCAAGTTAGACTCCAATTCAGGGTCAATAGTTTAAGACACTAGAGCGTCACCCACCAGACACTGACTCACAATGGCCACTCCTCATACGACGGGTATCGTTTGGTATTATTGCTTGCAAGTTCCTGTCATTGATAGGACTGAGTTCATCGGTCTCTATCACGAGGTAATTCCAGCTGACAAGTCCAAATAAGACGAAACGTGCGTTCAAGATTCCGTTGCCAACCATTATCCCCCATGACTTCATAAATCTTCACATCAGAATGATCGGTGATTATGGATACATGCAATTCCTCACTTGGCTGAAAGTAATTGGAGGCAAGTCCTACTTGACTTGGATTTCGTACTTGTTGACATTCATCAGCAAGGTGTGTTTGCAATCTTGAGGGAACTCATATATAAATGTATGAAATTTTCATAACTGTTTGCTGAGTAAGCTCAATAGTTAAAGTACTATAGAGGCTGGTTACTTTTTAAATCATGAATGATGTTGCTGAATTGAAAAAGACTGATGAATGAACTCCAGCCAAGTAATTCAAGACTATATTGTCCATCATCAAGTCTTAGAGTATTGATTTTTGATAACAGAAGGAGCTAGTAGCATGCATTACTGATAAATCTGAAAAGTAGGGGAGGAGGAACAAATATTCTTATATGCAGCGATTATCAATCTCATACTACATGGCAGAAGTACAAGTTGGTTTCAAAATCATTAAGACTCTGAAATCATCAACCTGAATGGATGACATATGCCAAATTATGATGTGGATAAAATTAGTTGTCAAGTGAAAACAGTACTATTACTTTTACGAAACAGAAGTGTTTACTTACCTTGTGGAACTGTTAAATGTGGACATGAGCTTAACCATCGTTTAAAAGCACTTAGATGTGCACTAACATGTGATGGATTTTCTGATAAAGATTTTCTAGCTAATTCCTTGTAGAATGGTGATAGATTATGATAGAGTTCAACAGCCATATTATATGAAGTGCTTACTAGTAAAACTGTTGAATGTTTATATACTAAAGTTATATTTAACTGACAAATGATTGGTTAGTGCTCGCCTTCCCTCATTGGTTGACATGGCGTTAATATGATTGGTCAGAGGTTATTTGAAGTACACAGCAAAATCAGCCAGTAATCACCCTTTCAGTGATAAATGATGTCTACTTTCACAGTCATTGAAACAGATTGAAACATTTGAAACTGACGATGGATAGTGGCTAGTAGTGGGACCCAGGACATATGTTCTGTTTTGTTTGGGATTCGTCGGCTATATGCCGGACTTCAGTAGTCACAATGTCGCTAACTGGTAAGCAGCTGACGAGTCCTAAATGGGACAAGACATGTGTCCCTGATCCCACTGTTAGCCACCATGTGTCATCGATCTCAAGACTGGATTGCCAACAATATCATGGCTATATGCCTATAGTGGTCGATCGATTCAATGGAACCAGCAACAGGAAATTACCGGTGATAGCCTCACATCAAATATTCATTCTTTGTTAAGGTTTTCGTCTACAGGCTTGTTTAGCATGAAGAATAAGACAAGGGGCTTCTTCAATACCATACCCAGGTTGAAGGATTTCAGACCATAGGTTGCTGGTAGCTGTCAGTAGAGTCCAGGACACCCATTTTGTCCTATTCGCAGCTCATCAGCTGGCTATACTTGCACCCTGGTGAGTGATTTTGTTTCCATTAGGAATTGGAATCCACTACCAGTGGACTCAAAAATAAGAGGCTTATCCATTAAACCATTGAAACAGGAGGGCCACCTGTGATCCAAGTATCAAACATTCATTGCAATCAGAATAAGATTAAAGCAGGTGTTAGTTGCCGTATGCTTATAATCGTTTCGATCTTGTTTAATATACTATGTAATAATCTTTGTACCTGAACGAATCCAACTTTCCACAATCATCAGCAGACAGATAATCTCAGCTGGTGCATAGAAGACTAGCTTGATGATCTCCCAGTTGTATAATACATATGACTCAACTGGAAGTTGCGTATACTTTTCACAGTTTTGACATATCATATGCCAGTCATTTTTGTTATATTCTATGTTTGTGAAATGTAGATACTGAAATTGAAAAGTTGATTTTGATCAGTAGTTAGTTACAAGCATTTCTGTCCCCAGCTGAATGCATGAAGTGGTAACCCACCATGAAATATATGTTACACACTTTCTTTCACAGAGTTTTTTTTCTATTGTTGTCATTCCTGCAGACTTTATCTTTCTGTATTTGTGCTAAGCATAATGTAGAAGTAGTATTCATCATGGAGTGACATCAGTTGGGGAACCATTGAAAACCCGGGAGCACTGGAAAGCTGTTCAGTCCTGGTACGGGACTCCTTAGCAGCATGCACCCACGACCTGGCTAAGGATCGAACCCGGGACCTTCAGGTTTCATGGCGAACGTACTAACCATAGCGTGACTATCACCCAAAGTCTTCAGTTAGCATCCACCTCACTTCCGACTGGTTGAATCCACAGGTCACGGCTTCTCATTAGAGCTACGTGATATCCATTTGAAAGCAAGTCACTAATGAACACTGTACAGTAATGTGTTTTTGAGATGAATGGGGGTTTTTAATTTAAAGGTCGTGGGTGCTGGGGAGTCTCATACTAGGATGAAACAGCTGTCCAGTGCTCCCAGATTTTCAGTAGTTCCGCAACTGGTGTCAGTCCATGATGAATACTAATTCTAAATTAAAAATCCCCATTCATCTCAAAAATACACTAAGCATAATGGCTTAACTGAGAATGATCTGTTGAGCGATTCTACATTGATTCTGTTTACGCCTGTCTGACAGAAATTTTGGTAAAGTATTCACCTTTATATATGTATCTCTTCGGTTCTATAGTAATAAACTTATTTCGAATGGTTTTATATTACTACTTTCAACCCACCATTTATGTCATTCTTCCTATGATGTATAAATTCTTACACCATCTGTATTCATTAAGTTTTTTATTCGCTAGTTCAGAGGTTTCTGACTAGATTCCTTATTGGCTATTAAGTGTCGCATATTATTTACAACTACTTCGAGAAAAACATCCCATCATATTGGTTTATACTTCATTTCGTCCAGGACAACACTTCATTTCTTTTCGATAGCCTATTTAATCCGTCCATATTATTGTTCTCCAAAATCAGTTTATGAATTCAACTCTATTGCAAGCATATGTCTACTACACAAATAATAACCAATTTGTTACTGCCTTTATTAACTCTTTTACAACACTATTGTATGACTTTGATAATGTTGATGATGAAATTGTTATGAGGATGAGATTTCTCTACCATTGATCTCTCTCACTTGTGTATCACTGAAATATTATTACTACAAAATGAATGAAGAGAAAAATCATACGATGAAGTGAAAATATTTTTGACCCAGTTATTTTAAACAAAAACAAAGTTTGTAAATGATCAATGGATAATATTATAAGAAAAAAATCGGTCCTTTTTATAGACTAGTTAAAAAGGCTAAAATAATAATGATAACATAGACATTAAAACATATGAGATAAGAAATTCAACAAAAGGAAGTCCAAAGGTGTGTTAATTTGAAATAACCACCGAATTACCAAGATGCCTTTTTAAACAACAACAGTAATTTCGTAGTATCATTCATATTGCACAGTCTTGATGTGTAGTTAGTGCTTTAAAGTTTGAAGGAAAAAGTTCTTATTCTTCAGTCAAGGTAAATGATATCGTGAAGATTCAATAATGTTCAGATAACGAAGTTCCATAAGACAATGAGCGATAGGTGTACAGCGTTTCACTACTCATAGCCCATTTAAACTTTAGAAATAGAGCTGACACAGTACCATTAAGTGCTGAAATGAAAAATTATAAAAATATGTCCTATTACAGGCATGCAAAACTGTTGAAGTTTACACTGAATTGTCTGCATCATGAAGCTGGATAGATTATCCTTAAGGGATATTTATACTTTGATAAGCATTGAGGACTTGATAAGTGCATCAGTAATCATCCAGTGTGAAAATGAATCGGGTTTTGCATATTCAAAATACTGGAATTTTTCGTATTCAACTTTGTGGCTAACATTAGAACCCAGCAGGTGTGTTTCTTCCTGTTTGTGACTCTTCAGCTGGATATACTTGCACCTCAGCGAATGATGTTGTTCCCACCAAGTGGACTGCAGTATAATGAACACCTGGGGGGTGTCGAGACGTCCGTATAGGACACCATCTGTCAACAGAAGTCAGGAAATTCAATTCAGTATAGTAACAGGAAATTACAAGTAACAATAAACATTTCCTCTTTTTCGTTTATACCTGTTGACAGTAGCCATTGGGAAACCAACCAAGAATATTACCTTCACAGAGTACTGTGAACTTGATCACAGAGCGTCATCACTAATGAGTCTGTTCTTTTTCGGTTGTCTGAGTACCACCTTACCGAATAGACTTAGAGAACTAGAGAAAACATCTCAGTAAATTTGTCACAAATGGTCAGTTAGTGACATGTCACTTTTACTCTCAGTATTCCACATCCTAGTTTGAACAGCTTGATAATGTTAGAGCATTTTCAAGGTTCTATTCAAAACGGATCGACGTTATTTGCGCAACCGTTGAAAATCTGGGAGCACTGGACATTTATTTCTTTTTAGTATTGGACTCCTCAGTACAGCACCCTTATGATACAGTCAGCAGGTGAGCCAAGAACCATTGGGTAATTCCCGGTTTCCGACAGTTCCCTAAATGATGTCGGTCTATGATAAATGCTATCTATCTTGAAATCAATTAGTTACCAGGAATCTCCGGGGAATGACTTAGTTCAAATACTGAAAAGTGTTGACGATTGACAAAAACTTCTAGTTTTTATTAGTATTTAGCATTATGTTGGAGGTCTTGAAATCAGATAGTTTGAACTTTTATTGGCATTCATGGGTAAAATTTGTCTAGAAATGGGAAAGTAATCGTATACCTTCGGAAATTAGAAAGTGTGTTACCTGGTCTTACAGTAAGAGGGTACCACAGATGAGAAATCTGTTTATCGCTTGTAAGCTTTAACCAGACTTACTAATTGATAAGAACCAAGATTCTGTTACTCTGCAGGAAGTTACTTTAGGTGAACTGACTGAACAGTCTACTCAGTATAATATACAGTTACTGAATTTTGTCATCAAGAAGTATAAATTGGTTGTGGCTAGCAGAAGAATCCAGGAAGCGTGTCTCGTCCTATTTGGGACTCTTCAGCTGGACGTACCTGTACCCCAGTGATGTTGATCCTACTAGAACTCGAACCCTGTACCCGTCGCTCCAAGCACCAAGGCGTTGTCCACTATGCCACGGAGGAACGATAGCCACTTCTTGTACAATGGGTAGTAGTTATTACTATTTATTGACATACTTGACAGCTGACGAATCCCAAATAGAACGAAAAGCGTCTTGGATTCTTCTGCTAGCCACAACCAACCAATTTATCATAATTAACATTCAGGCAATATCGAGGTATCCGCATAGGAGCCCATATACCAATAGAGGTAGAACAATTCTGTCCGATAAAACAACGAAGAATAACAAGTATGTCAATAAATAGTAATCAAGAAGTATAGTTACACGTGAGATTTCGTCTTACTCAGGTTACAGAACATAATGTGATCAGCCAATCATCACGGCATCTGACTAGATGTCTCAAGCATTCCAACTAGCTTGATCTAGATAGAGGTTTTGGGGTTGATACGGTTTCGGATATTTGCGGGAGTGCATAAGTTTTTTCCAGTTTTCAGACTTTTGCTAAGCTTAAGGCCTAGGTTTTGTTCACATGAACAAATGACCATTATATAATGTGCCTCATTATCTTAAGATAAATCGCTCAGATTAACGGTCTTCATTACAATTCAGTCTGATTTGTTTCTGTTGTAGTCAGTGCACACAGTTAGGTGCATTTTGACATTTTTGAGTAATTCCCGGAATCAACTCCGGGTGAAGTTTGGAGCTTTTGGGCACGTTT